AAGGATTTACAAAGAGTTTCCAAGCTAGGTAGTAGTAGTTATCTCGGTAACTGTCTTAAAAATGTCTTTGTCCCTATATATAGAATATTTGTGGGGGGACTAAGAATGATTTTCCGTTAAGAAAATCTTCTCTGAACGTATAACAATCAAATACTAATCTCCTTAAATTATAACTTATTCTGGGGATATCTGATGGGTCATAAATTATATAATGACCACAATTAAAAAGTGGAAAAAACGAATTTTCCTTGACGCTCCAGTTACGGGGAAAACTTATTTTATCATATGCTCTATTAAATATATCTTTGAAGAAAATTTTTATCCCGAAACCATTGGAGCACAGATACTCTCTTACCTTCTCATTAGTTATGGGGAATAACCGGTTCTGGACCCATTAAAATGTATTTATTTTTCTTATTTCTGAAAAAGTATTTGAGTCTCATGATTCATCCAATCCTCAAATACTTATTTCAAATGAAAATAATCGTGACCTTGGGTTTTTAACAATCTAGTTTCTTGAAGATGCTCTCTCTCTCTGACATATTATCATTAGTACCCATAAACCCCCCTCTATAGAATTATATAACATGTAAAAAAATAAATATTTAAGTATTTTAAGGACTCACACTTTTCCCTATTTTCATTGTACATTCATAAGAGAAATTAATTCATCCCGACCGTCTATAATCAATATAAAAGGTAACATAGGAAGTGGAAAATCAACTTTGATTTCCTATTTAAAGGAAAAACTTTCTCCTACATATTTTGAATTTGTTTCTGAACCTTTTGGAAATTGGGGAAATCTTTTAAATTTAATGTACGAAGATCTCTAAAAGTCGGCATCCATTTTTTAATTTACGGTTTTGATTTCATTTATGCCAACTTATTCTAATGTGCATATGAAAAATATGAAACACATTATCATAATGGAAAGATCAGCACACAGTGGAATATGTTTTGTCGACTCGTTAAATCGAGAGGGAAAATATCATATACCGAAAAGACCATTTATGAGCACGCGTACAAAATCCTAGAACCATATTGTGATTCAAGTTTGAATCTCTATTTGAAATGTCAACCAGAAATTTGTTTACAACGAATAGTGAAAAGACAACGAAAGGTTGAACAAAATATATCGGTATTATATTTAAATATTTTGCATGAGTGTCACGAAAAATGGTGATCTTCAAATTCGACTAGAGTGGAAATACAAAATCTGGATAATGTAGACAATGTGGGAATGAAAACGGTTAATGTCTTAAGAGAGCATCAAGAATATCCAACATAAATAGTATTTTGGCAGATACCAGAATTTTTTTTTTAAAGAGTTGTTGTTGTTGATTGGTATTGTGGTTGTTGTTGTTGTTGTGGTTGTTGTGGTTATTGTGGTTGTGGTAGACGGATGACATTGAAAAGAAACATCGGATGAAGATGAAGAAGAATGATGAGGAGGGTAATGTATAGGAGGAAGGTAAGGTGGTGGGGGATGATTGGGCGGTAGTCATAAATGGTTGTGGTTGTGGTGGTTGTGATGGTTGTCGTTGAGGCTGGTGGTGATTTTGTAAAGTGTACCAGCGATAATATGATAAATAATTATTATTGTCGTCTGGTGTTTTTCTTTGTATATTGAATAAATTACGGAATCCATCATCAAGAGTATCTTGGAGTATTATTCTTACCAGTACTTTCCTGACACCTTTTCTCGTCTGATTCATCATTATAATTTTTTATGTAGTCTTGTATAATTTTTTAATCTGGGTATCTTTTATGTAATGAGTGATTATCAGACCATAGCTTACAGGCCCAGAGAAGTATAACACATATAACAGCGAATACATATAGCAGAGAGTATGTAGAGACCTCGTGGTACCCCAACATACCAGGTTGACACACCCCAGGCCTAGACCCAAGGGACCCGACCTCGTCCGCTAATTATTTGAATTAGTGGGTGACCTGACCACACCTAAGACATAAGAACATAAGAACATAAGAAAATAAGGAGTCTGCAATAGGCCGGTTGGCCTGTGCATGGCAGCTCCTGTCGAGAGTTACTACCACTCTCTCTATCATATGCGGTGTCCTGCCTAGAAGGAGAGTTGGCAGTGAATGGTTGTCAAGGGTAGTTGGTGTCAACGACCGAATTGACAGATATTGCAAGTCAATATCAGTCCCATTCATTGACAACTGGGACAACTTCTATGGCAGAAGGGACCTTTATGCTAGGGATGGGGTGCACCTGTCTAGGGATGGAGTAGCAACCCTGGCTGGGGCTCTAGAGGGGGCAGTTCAAAAGATATCGAAGTCTTTAAACTGCTAAGAGAACATATGGGCACGGGGGTGGAGGAGACTGCAGTGGGAGCGGGTAAACAAGGCGAAAGATTACAGGGAAATAGTGTTAGGAATGATGACAAAACTAAATTAGACAGGGAGTTTAAAACTAAACGCGGTAAGGGGAGGACTCAGAACACGACTAACTTAAATGTATACTACGCGAACAGTAGAAGTATGAGAAACAAAATGGATGATATTAGGGCCTTGGTATGTACCGAAAAAATCGATATAATTGCATTCACTGAAACATGGATCAACCTAGACACACGTGAGTTACCAGTCGAATACCAAATTGCGGGTTACAAACTGTTCCATACCGATAGGCAGAGCAGGAAAGGAGGCGGAGTAGCAATCTATGTTAGGGATAATCTGAAGTGTGAAATAAATAAGAAAATAAAACGAGATATCACAGAAACAATTTAACAGATTTAAGTTAATATCGGAAAAATTAATCACAGGAGTGTTATAGACTTCAACGGAGGCGCTAATGAGCCTAATTTATCTGGGATGAAATGCGTAGGGCTTCATATTAATGTCAAAGTCTGTGAGTAGGCGACTTTTAACCTCAATAAATATTGGACCGACCTTGTCAAGAACCTCCAGAATCAGAGGATTCTCTGAGATGATCCAGGACTGTTTCCTAAGTCAATATATAACCGAACCCAATAATAGGTAATAATATATTGGATTTAGTTTTGTCAAACAGAGAAAACCTCATTAGCAATGTCGAGGTAGGGAACGAACTTGCAAACAGCGATCACAAAGAAATTCGATTCCAGTTAGATTTTCAGGGCAGACGTAAGGAAAATTCCACTAAAGTACCAGATTTCAGAAGGGCAAACTTTGACAGTTTAAAGAGGCAGCTGAGAGAGGGGGTGTCGCGCTTGGCCGTGAACCTGACAGATGACACAGACCTGATAACGACATCTGAGATTGCCGAGTTCCACGACAATTTAAATAGTGAGTTACTTAATGCACAAAGGCAGAACATGATGGTTACTAGTGTGCCCTGAAGAATGCAGTGATGGCTAGGGAAACACTGAGTAACACTGAGTTCGTTTATTGTGGATGAGAGAAATACAAGCGGTGACCAGCGTGTGCCAAGCACAGCTCACACGGTCAGACTGGGGCTGCCTTGCCATATGGCAGCCTCGGGGCAATGTTGCCACATAACACGTGCAGTGTTGCCACGTGATAATATATATAAATGCTACTCGGTACAGTAGCTTATGTACAGGGTTGCTACTTGGCACAGTAGCTTATATACATAACCTACAGAACATACCATACAAAAAACTCAGATCAGACAACAATGACCCTAAATGGATAAATAATTATTTAAAGAACATCATTGGCCAAAGGAAGGCTATAGGTAGAAGGATAAATCGTGGCGAAATTCACCTCCGGGACTATTATAGGGTATTGGCGAGTAGGGTTAAAACCGAGATAAGGAAAGCAAAGAGGAATAATGAGGTAAGGATAGCAAGGGAGGCGAAGACAAACCCCAAAGGATTCTACCAAATGTATCAAACTAAAACACGAGAAAAGATTGGACCAATACAGTCAGACTCCGGCGAGCTCACTGATAACGATGGAGAAATGAGCAATAATTTGAATAAATATTTTTCAACAGTTTTCACCACCGAAAATTTAAACATGATACCCGAGGCAC